GTGGGGAGTGGCGACTCTCCAAAACCACGGCAAAACATCGCCGTGTTCCTTCTCCACTGTTTACTTTAAGCCGGCTAAGTGTAGGGTTTAATTATTGCAAAGAATTTTAGAATTAGGCCAATTCACCCCCCCCCCCCCTCTTGGGCATCTTAATCCTTTCAATCTTGAAGCTTGTCAAATTGTTCTTGAGGATGTACAACTTGGCACTCTTCACCACCGGTGTGCCCTCATAGGTTTCCTCCAATCTCTTCCACACCTCACTAGCTCTCTCACAATCCTTTATTTGCTCAAACACTTTAGAATCAACGGCATTGTAAATGGTGTTGAGAGCCATTGTATTGCATTGTTTATTGGCCTTGTCATTGTTGGTGAGATTGTCCGGATCAAGAATCACAAAATCACTCTCGGTCACATCACACACTTGGTCATTGATTGAACCAAGATACATCTTCATCTTTCTCTTCCAATAGTCATAGCATGTACCATCAAAGAACGGTGGTTTGCCCCCCATATGGTTGAACACAATTTGAGCCATCTTTTGACACCGAGGTTGTTAAACCTTTAATCAAACGGTGACCACAGCTTCGATACCACTTGAAAGGACCTAATATGGCTAGAGGGAGGTGAATAGCCTATTTAAAAATTCTACAAGGCACTAGAGCAATTGATTAGTACAACAAACGATGTAATGCAATTTTGCTCTAGCTCTACAAGGGTTGCAAGCCACCTATCCCAATAATTCTAGTTGCTATGATCACTAGGCACACAACAAGCTAGGTCACTACTCACTAAGCTAGTGTGCTCTCAAAGACTAACTAAAGAACCACACTAACCAAACTAACAAGCTCTCAAAAACTAACTACACTAAAGAGCTTAACAACTAGTTTGCAAGGAATGTAAAGGAGTGAGTAGGGTGATTATACCGCCGTGAAGAGGAATGAACCAATCATAAGACGAAGCCAATCAATCACCGAGAAAAATCCAATCACACAAGAGACATAAGATTTTTGTCCTAAGGTTCACGTGCTTACCGGCACGCTAGTCCCTGTTGTGTCAACCAACACTTGGTGGTTCAGTGGCTAAGAGGTGTTGCACAAACCTCACCAACAAATGGCACCACAAGAACATATCCACAAGTGAGGTAGCTCAATGACACGAGCAATTTACTAGAGTTGCCTTTGGCACTCCGCCGAGGAAGGCACAAGACCCCTCACAAGCAACCGATCAAGGCCGGAGACAATCACCAACTCCGCTCAACGATCCTCCAATCACCGGGCCATCTAGGTGTCAGCAAACACTAAGAGTAACAAGCTCACAACCATCCTAAATCACCCAACTAGTGCCACAAGATGATGCAACTCAATGCAATGCACTAGAGGCTCTCCAATCTCATTCAAGATGATGAAATCAAGTGAACAAGTGAGTGGAGTGTGTTGCTCAGCTTCCAAAGGGTGTGCACGAGTGTATAAGGTCGCAAGAGAGTGGCCAAGGCCGGCCACACCCTCTATTTATAGCCACACAAGAAAATAGAGCTATTATACCCCTTGGAGCTATTTTTGCGAGGTCACCGGATAGGGCGGTGCCTGGCACCGGACATGGCGGTGACCTCCCCAATGGTCGAAAACCAACGGCTATAAACTAGCCGTTGGGGGCACCGGACAGGGTGGCGGTGGCACCGCCCTAGGGGTGGTGGTGACCACCCAGTCGTGCCCTAGAAAACCGAGTCTCTAGAAAAATAGGGCGGTGCACCGCCGCACCGATGGTGGTGACCATGGCGGTGCCCACCTTCGCTTGCGCTGCTCTCAGGTGAATTAGGGTGGTGAGACCAGACAAGGGCGACGGTGCACCGCCGTGCACCTGGCGCTGTACACCGGACACACCGATGCCCGCCCTTCAACTTGTTGCTCTCTGCCACATTGAGATGGGAACCGCCCTAGGGGTGGTGGTGCCAGCCCCAGCACCAACGTCTCTTGGCCTCGATGAGCCGGTCACCGGACAGGCCAGGGCGATGCACCGCCCCTGCCATGGCGGTGACCACCCCGAGGCAAACACCTCCGTTTGCTGCATTTTTTTATTCTTGATTCGATCCACATGCAGTCTAACACTCCTTTGCAAGCATTGCTAACCCACAAAGTGTTTTCCCAAAACATGTTAGAGCCAAGTTAGCATTTCTCAACATTTTCGATAACTATTTCGCTTGCTCTCCGATGTGCACTAAGCCTAAATGCAATGCATGAAGTCAAACACCTAGTGGCACTAGATGACCGAATTATCTAGTTAAGAACCCCTCTTAATAGTACGGCCATCTACCCTAAACGTGATCACACTCTCTATAATGTCTTGATCACCGAAATAAAACCCCTAATTATACATTTGCCTTGATCTCCATAGGGTTTTGTTTTTCTCTTTCTTCTTTTCCAAGTTTAGCACTTGATCATCATCACATGTGGCCATCTCATCGTTTTATGTGATCATCACCACCTCTTGAGTGCCATAATGCCCCACATTTGGATTGCACCAATCTAGCTCATATCACAACTCATGATAAAGGTTAGTGCATAGGTTTCATCAATTATCCAAAACTAAACTAGGGCTTTCAGCCAGCCAATGAGAGCAGCAACACCTGAGTGTCTACCTCCTCAGGTGGCAGCGGCAGCCCCTCAGGAGGTTAAGCACCAGTGGTGGACACATATTCCCCGACGACGGCTACTCAGTGGACGACTGGCTTGTCTATGTTGTCGCCAGTGCAAGGGCCACCACAGCTCACGCCACCACGGGCGGGACAACCCGGCGTCGCAGATGACTGCACCACCCACAGCGATGCGACGCCCACACCACGAGAAGCTGCCTGGCGTCTCGCTCAGTTCACCGAGGAGGTGCAGCTCAAGCGAATGTCGCCATTAATCGCCAGCCCACCAAGGCAGAAGGTGGCAACCACAGGGCAACCCCTGCCAAAAAGGAGCAGACGGATCACCGCTTAGCTGCTGGCGCACATTTCGACCTCCAAGCGGGGCGAGGTGCTCCTCTTGCAGAAGAAGGGCTTTGCACCGCCGACAGCTCCAATTTCATCCGCGTCCAAGCGAGCATACGATGACTTATTCGTAGGAAACTTGACGTCGAGCGAAGTGAAAGCTCAGGACGAGCTGTTCCCGGCGACCAATGCTAGGAGTAGTAGAAGACTCTTCTCGGATGACGGAGCAGGGTCGCACGGCCAACAGTGGAGACGCCCAGCTCCGTAAGTTACTGCTGTTCGGTTGTTTACTTTTATGTAATATCAAAGTTCGAAAAAATCTCCTAGGAAGGTCAAGTGTAAGACCTTCTAGGGCTCTCATTAGAAGCGTGCCGTGTATGATTAGACTCTTCTTCTTAATTACAATAATACGTAAATCTTTTGTATATTCGAGAAAAAAAATCATAAGCAAATTATTTAAGAACGATCACCAGCTAGCGCCCTGCTGGCTAAGTGAACACTCTAGCTCCATCCATTCTTGATGAAAGTGCCCAAAGCAACGATCTCTAGTGCTCTGCTTGCCAAGCGAACGGTCTTCATTATATGGTGCCACTTGTGCATTGTTTATTAATTATTCCGTGTCGAAATTGTCCTCAGAATTCATCTACCACAAGATGAGAGAGTAGCTGTGCATTATTAGTGTTGCCCGTTATTTCCAACACATCTCAAATTCTTAAAGGGCCAATAATATCGCCCACAAGAATCCAACATCCAGACTTCTATGAAATTTCATTGACGCCCTTCTTCCTGTCTCCACGGATTATTAGAGACTGAGACGTTGAAAGCCACCGAGACCAAACCTTAGCAGAAACGACTCCCAGACCGCCAAACGAGCGAGCGAGTCTCCTGAATCCTGATCAAAACCACCTCCACGCCGGACAGGCGGCGGATACGCTTCTACAGGGACTAGTCTAGTCTACTCCCTTCATCCCAAATTATCTCGTTTTAGTTTTTTATGCTACAAGTATAACTTAATTTATTAAAAATACGTATAATATTTATATCTTTAAATAACTTTATTAAAAAACTAGATTCAAAAATATTTCAAATGATACTAATTTTGTAAAATAAATATTAATATTTTTAATATATAATTTATTAAAGTTGTTTATTAAAAAATAAAAATAAAATATATTTTGAGACGGAAAGAGTAGAGTACGACTACACAGAACGACAGAAGTGCCACCAATCAACAGAGAGATTGACGTACTGCAGGCTGCTACCAGAGTAGTACCACAAGTCCAGATCCAGTGCATGATGCAGCAGTCTCAGACTCTGAACAGTGTCGACGTATCGTTATCGCGATGACTAAAGTTTAGTTCGTATCGGAAGCTCGGATACTAATTACAAAGACTAAATATAATTTAATTATAAAACTAATTACACAGATGTAGATTAATTTACGAGACGAATCTATAAAGTCTAATTAGTCCATCATTAGCATATGTTTACTGTATGTATTGTCAAATCATAGACTAATTAGGTTTAATAGATTTGTCTCACAAATTAGTTTTCATATGTGCAACTAGTTTTGTAATTTTTTTTAAAAAAACTAGTTTTGTAATTAGTCTATATTTAATACTACAGTATCAGTACACAGTAGTGTCAAAAACATTTGACGTGACCGAGACTAGAAATAGTCCTAGAACCAAAACTCCCGGCACAATATTCAAAATCATGCCGTGGTGGCAGTGGCATACAGGCATGTGGCATGGTATCTCACCAATCCTGCAGCCAAAAGGCAAGCAAGGCGTCAAGTCAAGCTCACCGCAACTACACGCAAATTTACCTTCCTTGCATACCAAGTTTGCGCTACAGAACTGGGGGTATATATATAGTCTATGACTATAACTCTCTCTGGGAGTAGTACACAAACGCAACTACAAGAGAGACGGGCAACTGGGCAAGGGAAAAATACACTCTCTCTATAGCTATAGGCAGGCTCTTGAGGAACTCATAGAGAGAAGAGCAAGAGTGAGAAACAGGATATATGGCGTCCATGATAACAGGAGATTTCGTGGAGGCCTACGTACGGAAGAACGCCTGCAAAGAGGAGATAAGGAGGGCAGAAGCGAGCACCGCTGGCGGAGTGGCGGCGGCACAAGGAGACAAGAAGGCCGGCGCTAGTGCATCGTCAGAGAAGAAAGCCGCCAAAGAGGCTGCAGCTGGTAGCAACAAGGGAGAAGGAGGCAGCAGCCTCTTTGGGCTGATGAAGAAGAAGGTTCATGCCAAAGTTGGCGGAAGTACAGGAGCTTCTTCTTGAGCTCCTGTAGATGCAGCAGCAGCTACTAGCTACTGATGCACCCGTTAGGCATCTGCGTGGCTGCAGCCTGCACGCATGCATGGAATTTCAGAATTTTACTCCTGTCCATCTTGAAGTCAAGTGGTTTCAGTTCAGACTTTCGGCTAAGATAGGCCTTTTTGTTACTTTAATTTCCCTTTCCTCCTCCTTGAATAAGAAGCTTGCAGGGCAAACCATGCATATGTACCTGTTTGTTTGATAGAGATGGACGAAAATAGGGAAAAGAAAACGGACCAGTTCATTTTCTCTATCTTTATTTGGGTCTTGTTTAGATTGCAAGTTTTTTCACTCTTTCTCCATCACATCAAATTTTTGGACACATGCATGGAGTATTAAATGTAGATAAAAAATAACTAATTACACAGTTTGATTGTAAATTACGAGACGAATTTTTTGAGCCTAGTTAAGCCATGATTGAACAATAATTATCAAATACAAACGAAAGTGCTACAGTGTCAAATACTGATTCCTAACCCCAATCTAAACAAGGCCTTGGTTCTACATAGTCCAATGTTTGCTACTGATATTTCCTCCCTACTACATGCTAGGCCTTGTTTAGATGATGGTTGGGAATCAATATTTGACACTGTAGCACTTTCGTTTGTATTTGACAATTATTGTCCAATCATGGCCTAACTAGGCTCAAAAGATTCGTCTCGTAATTTACAATCAAACTGTGTAATTAGTTATTTTTTTATCTACATTTAATACTCCATACATATGTCCAAAGATTTAATGTGATGGAAAGAGAGTGAAAAAACTTAAAATCTAAACAAGGCCCTAATTATAGATTCCAAGTCTTGCTCCTCTTTCCACGCTAGGCTTCCAAAGTTAAGCTTTAGCTGACAACGCATGTAGTGTCTCACAAGTTCCAACCAGAATACTATCAGCCTGTTCGCTTGCTCGTAAACGATTGTAAATTTTCAGCTGGGAACAGTGTTTTTCTCTCACACCAAACCAGCCAGCAGTAAATAATCCACGATACGATACGACCTCCCGAACAGGCCGTATGAATATGCAGTGTTTGACACTTGGACAGTGTGAGACAAAGGCTCCCACGCGGCGACATTTGTCCTCTGCGCAGCAGTACTTAAACTACGCTTATATACAGGAGACCATAGGCGTGTTTAGTTGGTATTAAAGCCAGCTGATAAGTCAGCTGATTTATTGTGAGAGAAAAATAATATAGATTCTAGCTGATAAATCGATTGATAAGTTCAAGCGAAATCGAGCCCAGTTGGCTGTCGGCCGCTTCATACAACGCTTACCACAGTCGACGATAAATAATTATGAGTGCCTAATTAATGGTCATCTACGGTATAATCTACTCGATCGTGTCTGCCGAATTCTGCGGAACCCCCATCGCGTTGGCTTTTGCAGCACCAGATCTGCAGTCTCCCATGCAAATGTTGGATTTTGCTCGATCTTGTTGGGTCCGACGTTCAGTGTCGGCTTGCCGAATCTGTTGTACCATCCCACGACAACCTCTTTTCCGCCATGGGCCTGTCCCGGTTACGGACGGGCCTCTTTCAGCCCAAGTCTGGAAGCGAAGTCCGTTGTTCTAATTTGCCAAGAAGAATCTTATTGTTTTCGGAGTACATAGCCAGCAGAGTAAAACTCGCGCAATTGCATGACTAGTCTAATACGAAGTACAATTTAGCATTCACTACATCTTACAGTTTTACTTTATTTCTCATGCTTTTATATCAATGGCATTAGTAATATTTATTGTGACCAAAAGTAACTGCTCTGTCACCAACGGTCTAAATTATACATCTTACTTTGTCGCTTCGTGAATGCCATAACTTCCGGTTATATTTTAGGCAAAATAATCGGTAATGCTTCTTATCCACTCACCTCTGGCCATCGTAGTTTTCCAAAAAAACAAAAAGAAAAAACTCACCGTAGTGCCGTGAGCATGCGACCGTGCGTGCTCCGCGGCGCATCCCGCCCGCCATCTCCAGCGTGCCTCTTGCCCGCCTTCTCCCCACTGCACCTCCCTATCCACTGCGCGCTCCCGCTCACCTTCCTCTCCGTCACGCCTCTCTCTCCACAGTGCCTCCTGCCTGCCTACTCCACCAGAGCGACCAGCTACGGCCTTCTCCCCGAAAGATTTGCATATGAGAAAGAAAAGAACGTACCATGTAACTGGCGTGCATTTCAAGCCATTTCTGATCCATCAGAGTGTTGCGTGTCGTGTGTCGTTTCATTAACTATTAACTATAAGTATACCCCACGTGTTACAACGATGTTTTCTTAAAAATAAAAATCTGTTATATATAGCATTACTATATGGTATTATGTATACTGTGTATATATATGAATTTGACTGGCATGTTATTCTATTATATCAGATCGGGTAAAAAATGGGTAAACGAATAGAAGGAAAACCAATAGAATATTTGATTACATTGAGGAACATGTGATAAAAACAAATAACGTATGCAGATGACTTATATGTTAATAGATTAAAGATTAAAAGTATTGCACGTAATAGAGATGATGTGAATATTTTATGTAATTAATAGTGAAGAATGATGTGGACACCTTGCATGAAGAGATAAAACATCTAGTGGGGTCATTTAGTGGGAAATGATGTGAACACCTTGTATGAAGAGAAAAATCATCTAGTATGGTTTAGCTTTATAAGAGTATATAGATAGGTGAAAACATGAATGTGCTTAGCTTTTATCGAAAGCTAACATCTAACAATGCCTCTAGAGGCTCTCACACATGTGAGGATTTTAAATTTTTTGGACAGGTTCATCATAGGGAACTCAACTGATCTATGGTCAGTTCGCTGGGATAGTAGAATTGTGTGTGTAAACAAATATAGGATTCAGATCCGTGCACTCTTTTTTTTTTTGGTGTGGTGGTGTGGCTAAAATGGAACATCGCATGAAAGTGATAAGAAAGCACCGAGTAACAGGGACGCACAACGGCACAAGCTGTTGGGAAAGAGCTTGAAGGGATACACGGTAAAGGGCTAGAGGTATACATGTTCGTTTTTGTTTTTGTATTTGTAGTTGTGTAACCTGTGCTGCGCGTATGCGGTTTTACACATATCATGTGCGGTTTGATTTCTTATTCATACTTGAATGAGCCTTTCCCATTATTTTCACTTAGAAAAAAAAGTTAGATTGGCCTAACAGGGCTTCACTGGATTTAACCAGATTTGCACATTACAATTTCAAAAAGTCATGCTCTAACTTAGCTTAGCTCTAGGATCCAAACAACAATGGAGGGTCTTTTAGGTTATTTTTGCGTAATTGCAATGTTGGGTAATTTATCCACGTGTATAGGTCACTTTAATTTTATTTTATTTTAGTAATTTATAGAGCTTGAGAATTAACGTGGCCTGTGTCGGCTCTCCCGTGGCTTCCCAATTTGTTCCGTGTCATCGTCAACGAGTAATAATCCAACGAGGACTCCACTGTAACACTGCCAATCAAGCAATGAGTCTAATTCTGCCGGCTGATAAATCCACGGGAATTTGGTGTCTGGTGCGGCTACGGCAGCTCGGCGAATGGCAGTTATTACACGGGCGTCCTGCGCTGAGCCCAGAGAGGCAACAGATACAGCGAGACACAGACACCGGATCCCGTCCGCCCCCGGACCAAGAATCCCAACCTCGCAGCGATGGCAGTGGCAGCGTCCCGCCGCGAGGACCGTGATCGGAATCAGCCAGTGGTGCTTGTGACGGGGTGCTCGGAGGGCGGCATCGGCCACGCGATGGCGCGCGCCTTCGCGGCGGCCGGGTGCGCCGTCGTGGCCACGGCGCGGTCACGCGGTTCCATGCGCGACCTCGACGGCGCCCCGCGGTTCCTGCTGCTGGAGCTCGACGTGCGGTCCGACGAGAGCGCGCGCGCCGCCGTGGCGGACGCGCTGCGGGAGCACGGCCGCGTCGACGTGCTCGTCAACAACGCCGGGATCCACCTCGTCGCGCCACTCGCCGAGGTGCCCATGGAGTCCTTCCACCAGGTTTTCGACACCAATGTCTATGGTAGGATTAAAAAAAATGTTTTTTTTTGTTCTGCTTGCTGTCTACTGCCTTGTTTGCTGTTTTGGTATGATTGCCTGATTGTGATGTTCTCCAATAAAGACAAGATTTTGGATCCTGGAATCTGAATTAGGCAATTAGAGGTTAATAAAGGAGTCGAGAGGTTTTTTATTAGATCTACCTAAGGGCATTTTGGTTTGATTATAGAGACAAAAACAGAGAATTAGGAATAGCTTTATGGACGTTGTTTGAATGAATGATTTAAATTTCTGCAAATAGCGAATTTTATTTCCTAACTCGGGGAACTCACTTGAGTGCTATATTAATTTCGTGCTTGTTAGCGAGATAGTTGGTTTAGATTTGGGTCATCCTCGAGTGTGTTTAGTTGTGCATGATTCAATGGTAAATCATATACAGCAATGGGTTATGTAGTCAGATTCCTATGACTGTGAAAAGGGATCTGTTGGGCATACCCAATGCAGAGAGCTCCGGCTCTGTGCGGGGTCTGGGGAAGGGTGTCAGTGGCAAGCCTTACCCTCGCCTGTGCAATGCGAGGAGACCGCGACTCGAACCCGGGACCTTCCGGTCACAGACGGTAAGACTCTACCGCTTGCACCAGGCCCGCCCTTCTGTTGCATCCAGTAAAATCTGCTGAACCAGTGAAGTCAGCAGTTCAATTAGAACCCTTCTTCAGTCATCATTGGCAATACCTTGTGCTTAAAATGCATGATCACAGTAACAAGTGCAGGTTTGATATGATGCTTGATAGGAAGGTAAATGGAGTAATGAAAATTGTCTCACGGATTATGAACCCACTGAATCTATCTTTTAGAATGATGTGAAGGACTACCTCTTGAACTCATTTATTGAAGTGTTTGGGAGGATGCAAAGCACAGAATTGCTAACTAGTTTTGCTACTATCTCATCATGGAGATTAGTCGTCATCAACCAAAGTGACTGA